ATAGAATAGAATAGAATAGAATAGAATAGAATAGAATAGAATAGAATCGTTTATTTCATGTTATCAATGTCACAATATTACAATTGGAAATACAATGTCAAGGGATAACTATGATGTAGATGTTCGTAGAATCGGGGACCTATTACCCGCGGATTTCTAGTTGCAAGTTCGGTACAGTGGGCAACGGATTTTAGTGTTCCCGCGTTAATAGGTGGCAGCAGTAGATGTTGTTGGTAGTGAAGTTGGTACTGAAGTATTTTTACGCTGATTTGGCTTAATATTATTAAGCCGAACTGGAAGTAAATAATTAAAAAAAAAAACACTTACAAGGGTTTATAGATACCGTTTAATAATTTAATAATTAAATTTTGCTAAAAACATCGAATGCGTTAGTTAATTAAGACCGTCAGGATGGCTGGTTGCCTGTTGTGTGCTTTTATAATTTAATCAGTCACTTCGTAAAATTTTCATTCGGATATATTTTTTTAACTAATGTAGATAAGAAGCATAGACCTTTAATTCGTGAAAGTAGTAAATAACATACTCCTGGAAAAGCTGCTCCCTTCATGCTGTACAAAGTGGCCACCAGGCATCCTGATATCAGAATGGCTGGTCAATTATTCTTTTAAATTTCTCAGAATATATCAAAGGTAGCAAATAGGTTGCAATTTTTGAATATACACTCAGTGCCAGACGCCACAGGCGACCAGCCGTCCTGACGGTCACTTTTTAGGATCGCATTCCAGAACTCCACTCAATGCTCAAGTCAGGACTTGAGTATGATTTCAAGCACTAGAAATCTTACTCAAGTCCTTCCCATTAGGGTCGTATTTCCAGTGCTTGAAATCATACTCAAGTCCTGACTTGAGCATTGAGTAGAGTTCTGGAATATGACCCTTAGTCTGGTAGTAGGCCACGTGACAATTTTTTTTTTCGTAGATCCCTGCCTTTCTAATATGGTATTTTTATAATTAATTAACTACAAGTGTATTTTTGATAGCTGATGCTACTCACTTCGATAAGATTAAAATAGGTGAAGTGAAAAACTTTATACAAAAACAACATGTCATCTTACCGAATATAACTTCATTTGCTGTTCGTTGCGAAATGTTTACTTCATACAAAGGATCAACTTGATCACGGACCTTTCCGTGTGCAAGACCTCGCTTCTTCCAAATAAGATATCACTGCTACATGTGTAAAAAAAATATAAAAAATGGTATATTTTTTATGATTTCAGATGTGGACACCAGTCGCCCTGACGAGAAGTCCGTGATGACATACGTTGCGAGCTACTATCACACTTTCGCGCGAATGAAGAACGAGCAAAAGAGCGGACGACGAATCGCCAATGTGAGTACATACCATTTACCTCTACTCCTCACCTCCGTACATGATTAGAAATAACTATAGTCTGTCTTTTTTGAAGACGTAGTAAAATTACATTTGCATGGTTGCCAGTTTTCATAAAATTTTTATTATTATGTAATTTAATAGTCATGTAGTGTCAATCATGTCGACAGTTTTATCGATAGATTGTGAAAGAAACTAGAATTTTGCCAAAAAATTCTTCATTGTGAATATTATGACGTTCTAATGAATAATAATTACATTATTGCGTTCTTTATTCCTATTTTGACAGTTGCATTTATATTAATATAGCGACATGTCAGCCTTTGGTAGCTGTAAAGCTATCTTTAAGTGACGCAAACTTTCATTAGCTTCTCACAGGTGGCACTACGTCAAAAAAGGCGTTTAAACCCCAATATAAAGATCTGTAACAAACATATAGAGAAATTGGTAAGATCTGCTGACTCGCTTCAGTTGAATCTGTAGCTCAGTTGGGAAGAGCGGTAGCCCCGGTTAGGCATACTGAGGCTGGTTCGAATCCAGTCAGATCGAAGGAATTTTCAGTTGTGTTTGTTCGATCTTTATTAATAATTATAACAAACTAGTGGAGTAATATCATATTAAAAATTAATATCATGGTATAAGCTCTGAGTGGCACTGCAACTGCTATGGACAGGCGTGTAGCTTACCATCAGGCGCACGACTTCGTTCGCTCGTCCCGTCACTTGATATTGTATAAAATGAATAAATAAATAAAGTGCATAAACTTCATATTACAAATATTAAAAATGCGGCAACTCAGGTCAGCCGCTGGTAGCTGGATGAGTGAAGAAAAACTTGTATAGATTTCTCACAAATGGCAAAAAAGTTGTTAAAAAAACCAAAAACAAATATCTGCAACAAGCACGTAGAAAAAATCGTTGAGTCTGCTGGTTCGTTCCGCAGCTTAGTTGGGAGAGCGTCGGCATGGTATGCTGAAGGCTCTGGTTCGAATCTAGGCCGGATCGAAGGAATTTTTCTCTGTGTTCGATCTTTATATTAATAATTGTAACATGATATTCATCGAAAAATTTATATTCCAGCTAGATAAGTTGCTTGAGTAAAGCAGTCAATATCTAAAAGCTATTTAACGCGATCGACTTTCACAATGTATGCGTTACAAGCACGTGCGCTGTCTAAAGGATAATGGTATCCCTAGAACGCGATTTGCTCTAAAAAACTTGTTCACGCATACTTTCAGAATATCAATTAGGTTACGTACACGATTATTTAGTATATTCACTTGCGATTAATGGCATTGTCACCTTTGTCCTAGATAATCGGACAACTGATGGATTGCGATGGCCGCAAAGCGGAATATAGCCGCCTGGTCTGCGCACTCCTCGAGTGGATTAGACTGAAGATCGAAGAGCTCAATGGTCGCGACCTTCCCAACTCGCTTGACGGTATACAGAGGTTGCTGCTCGCTTTCAAGCAATACAGGACTGTGGAGAAACCTCCCAAGTAAGTAACAGCCCTAATAAGTAAGTAATATAATAGTTTAGTGGCAGTGGAGCTCCTTGGATTTAAAGCTTCCCTTGTTCAGGGAAGTACTGCCACCTTACCTATTTCTGCCGCAAAGCAGTAATGTCAGCTGTGTACCGATTTTGAAGGGTAAGGGTGCAGGTGAAATTACACATGGGACTTGTCAACTTATGTCTCAGGGTGATCAGCGCAGTGGCAGTGCCACTCAGATCTTTGTATTTAAAACTTTGATTGGCACTGCAACTGTTATGGACAGGCGTGTAACTTACCATAAATCCAGCCCAGAAATCGCGTAACTGTAATGACAATGATGGTAAGTTGTAAGGTTTTGGAATTCTGTACCTTGAATGTAAAGTTCAATTTTGAAATCCATTACTGTGCTTTAGAAATTTAAGCACAGAAATATGTTTTCAGCGTTTTAGCGCGCATAAAGACTTTTAATAGCTTGTCACTATCGGGCATAATAGCGTACGCGCAACTTCAGCTTCAACGGTGGCGCTGTTGTAATCTTTTTATCACTATTTATCATTCACTATGTGTACTATATTTAGAAAAGAGTTTATGCCACTCACGATTTGTAAAGAGCCTCTTAAGGATTCAAGCCTGTCCCATTGGGAAGCACGAGTGACAGACGTATATGAGTGTCAGTATGAAATGAACTTATTTTTTTCAGATACAAAGAGCGTTCAGAAATTGAAGCTCTATATTTCGACATAAACACAATGCAGAAAAGTTTAGTGGGCGAGGCCTGGGCTCCGCTAGAGGGCCAGCTGCCGCAGGACCTAGAACGGGCCTGGCAGAAGCTTGAACAGGTAGGTGCACCTGATTTTGGGCTTACGTTTAATGTTTGGACGCAATATTTCAGTTAGCGAGTCTCGGCGCTCTTTACTCGTGATACCATTACAGTACAGAGTACTAGAATCTACCACAAAAGTTCGTGGAATTACATCTATTTGCCAAGTTTTATGGAAATCGGTTACCGGAAAGTGCGCGAAACCGGATTCATTCACTGGTTTGCCACTCTTAGAGGTAGAATATTTTCTTCAAATTTTAATGGGACTACCACAGACGTACCCTCCTTACAACAAAAAAGAATCATCAAAATCCGTTCACAAATTATCGCGTAGTTGAGAACTTCCCCCGTTTTTTGAAGCCGGTTAAAAATAATGCTAATAACGCAAACATATTTATTTACAGGCCGAGCATGCACGAGAGATTGCTCTTCGAACTGAGCTCCTGAGACAAGAGAGACTGGAACAACTCAACTACAAGTTCAACACCAAGGTATTTCAGTGGACAATTTACTTTGAATTGTGAAATGGTGGCGCCAGTAATGATTTTGACAATAAGTTTCCTGTTTTCGGTAGCGTAATCTATATTCAAAAATTTTGCGACACGGTGGAAGACCAATGAGTTGTCTATTTTTGCAAATTATGCAAACTGCAGTTTATTTTTACCACTAGATGGAGTTGTAATGAATGTACTGGATTGTGCCGGCAGATGGCGCTAGAAACGGTTTTTGATAAGCAGGCGGTTTCATTTTGTTGGTCGTAGTGAGGGAGATGATTTAATTGACATGTTTTTGTTGACAGTCTGTCCTCCGCAAGGGGTATCTCAAGGAAATGATACAAGTTCTGTCGGACCCTCGCTACGGTTCGAACCTTGCTCAAGTCGACGCTACTGTCAAGAAACACGAAGCCATTTCCGCGGATATACTTGCCAGGTTGGTATTAAAAGGAAACTTTCACAACTACCGTGAAAGAAGGTCCGTTACTTTGATCTGCCAGTATGATCGACAAGGTTTATTGATAGGCGGCTTTTATTTGACTGATTTGTGTACTACGACAAGACTTGTCTAAGAACGCCTGGACCTGGATTCGCTGCTATTTCTTTTCACTCACGGTATTATAAGGGTTAAAAAAAATACATTATTTAGGGACATTATATAGCATATAGAGACATTTAAAATACTGCTTCCTTATTAAGTGTGGACTTAACTGACGTGTAGAGTGATTTACATAGTTCAGTGCCTCTACCATTGACAGTTATCGCTATCAGCCTAAAATGTTGTTTCTTCTTGTGACCGCTAGGGGCGCTGTATAAATTGCCATACAAAATTTTGAAGTAATTTTTGCGGAAGGTTGCGACAACTGTCACAGTAAACTCGTGGTGGAAGTCTTGTCTAAGGTGAAAGCACAGTTCAGAAGTTTCAATGAAACGTCATACGCAACCCGAACATTGATGGTTTCTTCTGGGTTCTATTCATTCTTTTCCATGGAATAATAAACGCACCAATCCGCGACTACCTACCGTGATCCACTGGCGTGAATTAATAGACCTTGTTTCTTACGTTGTTTTTCTATATGACGACTCTGCGATCGAAGTTGTTATTTAGCGTTTACAATATACTTAAATTTTGGTAAAATACCAAAAATCTCCAGACTTATTTCAGCTTCTCTCTGATTTCCACAGAACCGAACGTTTCGAAGACCTTTCAGCCATGGCGAACGAGCTAGTGCGCGAACAGTACCACGGCGCTGAAGCGGTCTCGCGCACTGAGAAAGCAGTTTTGTCGCGGTGGCAGGAGTTGCTGCAACTGCTCGAGGGTCACCGGTTTGTTCCTGATTTCCCGATTACTTTCACAGAATTCGTCTAAACGCAAACTCTGCGTGTTTGATGCACTATTTAAACCTCCGATTATATTACAGAGTATCTCTGGCACGTCTTGCTCATCTAATGGCGTTGCTGAGAGAAGCCGACGCTATTGAACACACATTGTTGGAAATGAAGGTGAGCACTCATGAGCATTTTATTAAATGACATAGGACTCATATGCGGTACTACCACTTGTCTGTACTAGTTTGATTGATATTATGTCTATATGCCAAAAAAGGTACTACGGTGAAAGACTTCAAATTAACTGTTAGTAACAATGGTTGCCAGCATCACTGGACAGACACTCATTTCCCATCATAATAACTTTGTGGATCTGCTGATGAAGAGGGCTACATAAGCAGCTCTAACGAAATGGTTGATATCTTTTAGTGCGTTTATATAGATGTCTATAACGCATAATAGATGGCGTTAACGTCTTCTTGTATTAATAATTTATTCTCTTCTTCTCAGACCCAATTTCAATCAGAAGAGGTGGGCCGCCATCTTGTCGACGTGGAACGTCTGCTCCAAGCACACGCCTTGCAAGAACTTCAACTGGGAGCTTTGGATGAGTCCATCAGGCGGTTAATCCGGCAAGGCACGGCTGCTGAAGGCCCTGTGCAGCCTAAGCAGCAGTTGACTCAACAGCTGACGCATTTGGAAGACGCATATGATAGGTAAGACTTATTAAATAACAATTGTAGACTGATAACATCACAAAAGAACTAAGTTCGACGGATAGATGGCGCTCTACTACATAGGGTTGTGTGAAATGTAAGCGTGGTTATTTTCTTACAGTCTTGTGGCCGCTGCTAAAGACCGCAAAGCGAGATTGGAAGACGCTAGAAATCTCTACCAGTTCCTGGAAGATCACGACGAGGAAGAAGGTAGATCATTATTTTTAGATTAATGAGATTTTAAACTGTATTCTGGAGTAATATTATAGCGACTAAACGTTGTGTTAGTGGTAACATCTATGTTGTGCGACATGACCACGTTACAGAACCTCACAAACTAAACACCACTAGATGGTGTTAATGTGACAGTGTCTTGTTAGATTATTCGGAAAACTCTTCTGCTCGTCTACGATTCAGATAGTTTTCTTACCAATGAATTGCCTTGTCTCATTTCATTTCTTTTTTTACAGGCTGGGTAACGGACAAACAGCGCATCTGCCGCGCGGACGTGGCGGCCAAAGACCTGCGCGGCGTCACCGCGCTGCGGCAGAAGCACGCTGCGCTGATGCAGGAGCTGCGCGCCAGAGAGCATATCGCGCACCGACATCGCTCGAAAGGACAGAGGTAGATTAGTTGCAGTGCCTATTTTCCATCGACCTAAGTAAGAGTAGACTTACTACTAGAAGCGGGGTTTTTAATAGTTTTAGAAAACTAAATTCCGGAATATATATTACAACACATGTATTGAAGGCAACTGAAACATTTAAAACGTTAAACGTTACCAAAGTATTCGAAAGTAGCCGTAGATGGCGTCGTTCAGAAAAGTAATGTCGTATGCAGCCTGCTGGACGCCAAGCACCCGAAGAGCGCCGAGATCGAGCGCCGCCTGTCGTCGCTGCACAAGCAGTGGGACGTGCTGCGCCAGCTGGCCGCGGCGCGGGAGAAGCAGCTGGCCGACGCCGCCGAGGCGCACCAGTTCTACGGCGACGCCAACGAGGCCGAGTCGTGGATGAAGGAGAAGCGGCCGCTGCTGGCCACGGCCGACTGCGGCGGCGACGCGCCGTCGGCCGCGGCGCTGCTGGCGCGCCACCGCGCGCTGCACGAGCAGATCGCGGCCTACGCGCAGGAGCTGCACGCGCTCAGCGCCGCCGCCGAGCGGCTGCAGGCCAGCGGCATCCACTCGCTGCAGGTACCCTCTCTGTAATGTGTTCAAGAACTCAAATTACGACCTGCATAAAGGCAAACTGATATTATTGCTTCATAATAACGTCGAATTCGATGTTATTATTACATTCAAATTTCGAACATCTCTGAAAGACAAAACAATTTGATTCGACCTCCATTCTAATACCAGTCGAGATGAAGTTTTATTTCAAGTGAAATGTCAATAGCAAACAATTTTGACAATTTCACACGTTACTTGATATCGAACGATATGATAGTTGGGGCCGATTCTAGTTTTTCTATGAATTAAAAATAAAAGCTACGGTTGTGTGACATGCGTGAGAAAAGTTTTTATTTGCCACCATTTCGCCAGTGATGCGAACATGCGGTTCCTGAACTTGTAATCGCAATTATAATATACATATGTGTAGATAAAGCTGTGTATGTAACTGTACATAAATAGGCATTAAAACACTCGTGAGATGTTTTTATGACACTCGCCTATTGGCTAGTTTCATAAACCCTCACTCGTGTTTTAATGCCTTTCATTATGTAACAGTCACATAAACTACTGTATAGCTCATACTCAAAATTTGAATATTATTATCAAGAAAAAATTAACTACTTATATTCGATAGATATCCACGGCCATTTACGTAATATAAACTACGTAATATAGTTACGAGCTGTAGTATGGAGATTAGCAATCTCTTTAATCTGGGCCATGTTACTATAAAATAGTTCGTCATTACAAATAATCATATCAAGTGACCGCGCGCAGTATATAAACCTTTTGTTTAGCGTTATGCGAAACGCTGCGCCAGCGCCGCCGCTTTTTTGTTAATCAATCGAGATTTACATGCGACGCACCACGCTTAAATTATCTTTGCTCATACAAGCTGTCACGTACTGTTACACTTCTCGTTCTATCTTCTCTAACTGTATTTCTGTATAATGTCAAACCGGACCATTTATTTTACCGAACCGTGTGTTACCTGTACCCGTCCTGAATCGTCTCTTTATTTTCCGCAGCTGCCCACGGAAGTGGAGTCGGCTCCGGCGATAGAAGAAGAGGAATGGGTGAACGAATCGCGGCTGGTGCCAACAGAAGTGTGGGAAGAAGAGCCCGTGGAGAGACTCGAGCACCGCACGGTGACCGAGGAGAGGAGCGTGCCGCAGGTGAGGGCGCTCAGGACGCGTGGCAGCTTCGAGGCGACCGGCGCGTACGGTGGTTTCTAACGAACGACGCGTCCCCAGGTGAAAGCGCTGTACCCGTTCGTGGGCCAGGGCATCTCCATGCAGAAGGGCGAGGTGATGTTCCTGATCAGCAAGACCAACCCCGACTGGTGGTCGGTGCGCAAGGCCGACCGCAGCGACGGGTTCGTGCCCGCCAACTACGTGCGCGAGATTGAGCCCCGCGTCGTACCGGTCAGTTGTCACTGGTTACTGTTTCTTGACAAAACAATGATCGCTGATTGGAATTAATCGGAAGACGCCGAAGGCACGTGTCTGCATTTTGGCAGATGGAACACTTCAGAGTTACACTTTTCTATGCAAAAATGTACTAATGACTTGAATCACCCGTATAAGTTTTTTTAAATATGAAGTGACGGAACCGACAAGTCGTGCGCCTGATGGTACTCTACACGCCTGTCCCATAACAGGTGCAGTGCCACTTAGAGCTTTAAATTGCAAAGATCTGCGTTGGGCATTACCACTGCGCCCGTCACCTTGATAGATACATTGACAAGTTTCATATGCCTGCAATTTCACTAGCACCTTTTGCCTGCAAAACCGGAACACAGTAATGCTGACATTACTGCTTGGCGGCAGAAATAGGTAAGGTGACAGTACTTCCCTGGAAGACTTCTTCTGACACAAGGAGCTTTACTGCTAAAAGTTCCACCCCTCTACGGGCTGCGCCGCTGCCTGTCGGTCTAAACCACGACTGCCCCGCAGGTGCAAGTGCGCCGGCCGGAGAAGGTCCGCACCGTGCAGCGCGTGAAGAAGACGGTGCTGGTGAAGCAGGTGGTGCCCGTGAAGCGCAGCAAGCCGGCGGCGCGCCGGGCCAAGCAGGCGCCCGTCGAGAAGGCGCCCGCCGTCGAGGACCGCATTCAGCACATACAGAAGGACTACGGTGCGTTTCATTTCTTAAACTACATTGACTTTTTTACGACGGGAAAGTTCTGGAGGGGCATTTATGGAGCTACCTTCTTCCATGATTGCGGCTATTTTCAAATAGAAACGTTACTCAATGGAACACTAATCAGTTTATTCCATACGCTTCAACTTTACTTCCATACACTTTACGACAGAAATATAGTGTGATACATATAATTTTAACAGATAGAACTTTACAACTCGCGAAGATCCACGGCCGTTCAAAAATAACCATTCACGTCAACGGGCCGTTCTCCCCCCGCGTAAACTCGTCACTTTACTTACCTGTTTATTACTATCAACAATCTAACGAACTAATATTAACGTCATCTATCTGTAAAAAATAATAACTCAATGTGACGTTCTATATGCATGCAATATGAATGCAATATTCGCGAATCGCAATAAGTTGGTTATGTTTTGGTGCCAGGTTCAATGACCCAGTGTATTTAAGTTACGTTAATATACAATTCTATCCGATTGTTAAGGTGAATTGTTGCATAAAACATACGGGGTGTTATTCGTGAACCACGCAAGTTTTTTGACCGTGATAAACTATTATACATAAGTCTAATAACTCGATGTACACTTTTAAAATATAATTATAGTTTATAACACATTTTCACTATAACCACATAAAACACTGTTCAAATTCTTTTAGCAGCTCCGTTACCCGTTTTGCACGGATGCTCCTTCCACACTGTCGCTACCAGTCGCCATCGCGCCATTTAGATTTTTTTAATCGATAGTACTCGAGTCGAATATATTACTATTTTCTTTAAAATGCCTATTGTGAAGTTTTAATAAGCGTTTAAAATTCAATATCGTATGAAAGTGACTAATTGTCAAAATTATCTTTTAGACGAACTGCTCCAACTTTCTGCGCAACGCCGCGCGCAGCTTGAAGACGCAATAAAACTATACAGCTTCTTCGCCGAGTGCGATGACTTCGACAAGTGGATCAAGGATAAGGAGAAGATGCTCAGGGCTGATGATAGTGAGGACAGCGTTGACACTGCTAAGAGGAAGTACGAGGTGAGAAGGCAGGGAAATTTGAATTGCGGTTACGAAAATATATTGTGTGCTAGGGAAATGAGAATCGGATACAGCGAAATTAAATCTTTATGCAGGGAAAATTCTCCTTTAGTCTAATAATATTGAGGGTTCTTACATGTTCAGGACACGATTCTTTGTCGAGTGGCCTATGTAATAGGTACGAGATTTTAAGACCTAATTATGTCATGATTGCATATAATACTTTTTCTACGAGTATATTAAATAATGAAACAACCAATATTTAATGTATGTTTTGTTAACAATCCACGACAACAAGCTCAAATGAAAGCCAAACAAACGCTACAAAACAAAAAACCAAAGAAATAGAATAGATGTATCCGTGATTGGCTAAGTACCGTTTGTGTTATAACCAATCGAAGGCAGTAGAGCGTTGGAGTAGCGTCATATTTGATATTTTAATTAGCAAAAAGACGACGTTCTTTTTTTGAAACTCTGAAAACTGTTATGAACACAGAACTATTATGAATAAATTTTTCAGTTCATTGCTTCTGTACAGTGAGCATACACAATAGAATTTGGTTCAGAACCAAAAAGAGCGCCTTTCTGATGTGTTGTATGAAATTATAATTGAAAGGTCAAATTAAAGAAAAACTATATTATGGTCCATTTAGAGAGTATCCCTCGGCTGTGCAACTCGGAGGGAAAGTAAATAATGTGGATAGGATAGTTTTCTTCACGGAGACAATATTTTATCTTTTAAAGTAAGTAAAATTCCTCATCTACGAATTGAACAGACAAAATGTGACAAAGAAAACAATCTGTATGTTTAAGATGCGTATCGATAGGGTCAATTGTAATTAATGCCTTTTAAGTAAAATAAGTAGGATTTTGGCAGTTCTGGCTCACTCGTACAGTGGGAATGTGGGCTCTATGGTGATGCGTTGAAGGGTGAGAATAACTTGTGGTTGTGTGTGCAGGGAAATGCGTGAGTTAAGACGTTTTGATTTTGAGAGCGGTTGTGGCGCGGTGGTGAAGTGGAAATGTTTTTAAGGGTGATAATGTGGGTTGTTTGTATGGGAAAATGTGTTGGTTAGGACGTTTTGATTGTGATAAGTGGGCGGGGCGATACTGTTTGGCAGTTCTGGAGCAGTATGTGGGGAGATTGGGTTCTAGGACTATGTGACCTTCAACACATTACCATACGCCAATGCCAATATGTATCTACTGACATATTGTCTTATATTAAAGGCAAAATACTTTGTCAGTTTTATTCACACGTCCTCTTATCTCCAACAGAAATTCGTGACAGATTTATCAGCCGCCTCCAAACGCCTAGAACATATCGACGCGGCCGCAGAGGAATTAGTCGCAGCAAAACACGGTCAGGCCACAAAGGCTACTGCGCGCAGGCAACAGCTGAGGCAGCAGTGGGAGAGGTTGCTGAGGCTTAAACAACAGAAGGAGAAGAGTCTGGAAGGAGCGTCCAGGTAATGTAGCAGCCGATGTTGATTTTTATTCGGTATCATAATAGTACATTGTGTATTAAGGACGGTCAGTAAGAAGTTGCTAACTAGGGCCTGTTAGGAGCCCGAAGCCGAAGGCTGAGGGTTTTAATAACTCGAGTTTTGTATTTTTTACAGTCCGTAATACTCATAAAGTTTTTCATCACATTTGCGAGGAAATAAATACAATGTTTATTTCTTGTATGAATAAATATGGTTCACAACACAACAACTATGGATTTTGCAAATAGCGGGTTTTATGTTTTTTTTTTGTCAACAGATGGCCAATTAGCTATTCCATAGATAATAAAACTCGAACTAAAATGTTGTAAAAAGCAAAGACGCGTACAGCCATGATGCATACAGCCACTAAATTTTTACACAGAAAATAATTAAAGTCAGTGAGAAAAGATACATACAGTATCGAGTTCTTAGGTTTTCGCGATTGTTACACATAGGAAATGAAAGTATTTTTCCGGATTTAAATCGCGTATATTTGGTTTTTCAAGCAAACCGACGTTTCGGACCCTTTACAGGTCCCATGGTCACGGTGAACCGTGAGTTTCATTTCCTATGTCAATTGTATGAGTAATTTCTCTAATATTTCTCAGTATCATAGTAACCTCCTTGCTTGATTCAAGTTCAAATTACTCAATTGTCTTTTTGAGAAGTAAAAGAAATACAGCTGCTTTACGCACGCCTCTCTGCCGCAGCGTGGAACTGTTCGGGCGGACGTGCGACGAGGCCCTGGACTGGATGGCGGAGAAGGAGCAGCAGCTGGCCGCCGGCACGGCGCCCGCCGCCGACCTGCGCACGGTGCAGGCGCTGCAGCGCCGCCACGCGCAGCTGGAGAGGGAGCTGGAGCCGCTGCGGGAGAAGGTGCACACCGTCAGCCTGCTGGCCGACTCGTGAGTGTCTTGCGCGGTGGCCGTTCGATGGGGGCGGGGAATTCGGGTTTGTTGCGACCCAGTGCCTCTACCATGAGATTACGTGCCTCTACCATGTGATTAGTGGCGTTCCACGACTGGGGTCGTCGCGTGTGTACGTGTAGGGCCATGCAGAGCAGGATAAAGACGTACCATTGTCTAGGGAGAGACATTATACAGACAATACGCTCTTCCAGATACATCATGATAGCCCAGATAGCAGATATATCATAGTGTGGTAAATGCTAAGATTTCATGCCACGTAAAAATATTTGATTATAAGTATATAAGGCCGCGGAAGTTGTGATATGCGCATATGCAACCATATTATCGTACACCTTTGCGTGGCAGTAGGTGCTTGTATCATTTGTTCTTTTTACTTTTCATGCAGCCTAATTATGTGGTATACAAAGTATAGGTACGTAGGTATCATCGAGTAGAAAATAGACAAAAGGGAAGGCCTAAAGCGCTGCGCAAACGTTGATACTTGGTTACGGACACGGGCACCGTCAATATGCTGTGTCCGAACACAGACACCTGTTGCTTCTCCTTGACGGGCAATAATTCGGTGCTTGAGTTTCCAAGCATCTGGAAGTGTTACAGTGGATATCAATGAAGAAACACTTACTTTGTTTATTCCATTTTAAATAACTTCGTTTCAATCCATTTTCAACAAAAAGTAAACAAACAAGTCACTGACATGACCATAGACGTTTTAGTGATGGGGTCAATTTTATTGCCAACTACAAATCAATTAATTAATTGAATGAATCGATTTGTTTAATTGAGCCATACTAACCTTTCATTACATGACTTGTGAAAACATATTTAAAGTTTCCGAAATCATAATTTTAAATAATTCTTCAAATCCTTACACTTAGATACTCGTTCGATTGCGATTGAAATTTTGAATTACTTAATTATTTTTAAATTATTTAATTAAAAACTTTAATTGAATGAATTAAATGTTTTTTCCGTACAGCGCTATGCAACCACAGACTACTCAAAGACCTTTAATTAAAAATAACCTCACTTTTTGACTACCATTTTTGAAACACGATTTTACAAAGTTATTCAAATGACTATTGTTTGAAAAAATGACGAGATATCAAGTCGAAATCTTCGAAAAGTGTTACTTACTCGATTTATGAGTGATTTCTTTAGAAATTAAACAAAACCAAACAAGTTTAAAATGAATTGGAACAGACTATAATTGCTTATATCGAACACTTTTTGATTGGCAACTAGAGTTGCAACGAGTATTCGGTTACTATTCGGTTTATTTGCCCTTTTTTTCGGTCGAATCACTTTCCGGCCGAATACCGAATACTTAAAAACAGGAAGAAGAAATTTAAAAAAATGTTAATACTGAATATATGTTAAGTGTAAGATCGCGAAAGCAAATTTTTTGCTTCTTTATCTAAAACATCAAAGGAAATTCAACAATATTACGTGATTTTTCTAAAATATCAAAAAAGCAACATATCAATTGAAAACTACCTTTATCATGACAAAATAATAAAAAATAACGCACACATTCATAGCCCCGCACTAGGGAATCCCTGTGTCGCGGGTGCTATGGACACACACATAGACATCCACAAATTACACCCAAACTCACGAGATAAATAAACGCAGGCCATACAAATATTTGTCACGGCCCGGGAACCAAACTCGGGAACTCTGCGTGGCAGACTAACATGGTAACCGTTTAGCCACGGAGACAGTTATGACTTAACAATTTATCTATCAAAATCAACCAAGTACTTATTATTTGCAAGCCTAATTAATCAAACTGAATGAAATAAACTATTACTTTTTCGTAAGGATGTCATACATTTATATTATAAACTTCAAAATGAAAGCGTTTTTTTTGTTTAATATTACAAAATAATTTATCATAACTGAAGTTAAGAAGTGTATTTTTAGTAGAAATTTTCCAACGTGCGTTAATCAGGCCGAATGTTGGGTCGAATATTCTGCTATTCGGATACGCTCTTGGCCGTTTTTATTCGGCCATACTATTTGCAACACTATGTACAACCCTCGTGTATCAAGTGGAAGCAACTGGAAATAGCAATGCATGATTTCATGAAAATTCAATATTCAATACTAGTTACCAAGCAGCTTGATCCAACACAAGACACTAGAGTGTCTACGTTTGCACGGCGCCGGGGACCAATATTACAACTGTAACCGTTAAATAATCTCATTTCAGCGTAAAATCGCAATACCCGAATGAAAAAGCCAACGTAGAAGGTCGCCAGAAGGAAATTCACCAGATGTGGGAGCGGTGCCTGGCGCAGGCCACTGAACGGCGCAGTCGCTTAGAGAGCGCCGTGGGACTCCAGATATTCACTGCTAGCACGCAGCAGCTTGGGCATTGGTTACAGGTAAGATTTTGTGTGATAACCGCCGCACCTCTGAAATGTAAGTTGGAATTTACCATGAGCATCGAAGATTCACAACTTGCTGTAAACGTGTGAAGTCCCCAACACGCATTTGGCCAGCGCGGCGAACTATAGCTTAAACCCTCGCCAGAGAGGAGACCCGTGCCCAGCAGTGAGAAGTATAAATGAGTTGATGATGGTCTGCGAAGTATGACGCAACGCGTGTGTGTCCGCTAACCAGCCTCGGAAACTTCGGTGCCTGACATCCTTCGGCCAAAACTCTTCCTTCATAAAGGTCGACAGATGTTGAGTTGGTACTCTCACCACAAATTAATTAAAATTCATATTGTGGTGGAACCCCAAGGGTGACATTGGCTTTCACTCGTATAATACTCCAGCTCCACAACATCCGCAGACTTTGTGTAACAACGTCGTCGGTACCGCTGGACGCAGTCGATGATTAAAATTAATAAAATTCTTTTTCAGTTTGAAAAGAGGGGCTGAGAAAAAAAACCACGGATTATAAAGGAAATCATTTAAAAAACTTAAAACTAAAGCTCCCATGTATACGTTTGCTATTCATAAAGCGGCAGGCGCACTAAAACGTATTTACAAAGACCAACCCCTAAAGTTCCTTACTAAATTTTCACCAGGGGAATCTGCGTAAAGTAATTTGCTATGTGAATGTAGGCTTTAAGATTTTTTTGTAAGTATTTTGTCTCTGACAGGAAGTCCAAGACCAACTGGCGCAAGAAGTGACAGCAAAAGACGTCGCCACTGCTGAAGCGCTGCACAAGCAGCACCAGGAATTGAAAGACGATATCAATGCACACGACGACGAGTAAGTAGGAACTTCGAATTAGTAGAAGCAGCAGCAGCAGTAGTAACGGTAGAGCTCCTTGTGAAAGAGTTCGTCCGGGAACCTGTGGTGGAACACTGCCACCTTACAAGACCTTACGTATCTCTGCCGTTAGTTAGTAGTTAGTTGGGGCGGTCTTCCATCGGCTGAAGTGTTTGTGTGCTTGTGTTTGTATTTAAATTAAAGAATAATAATAAATAGGCATATATTAATGAATAATAATAGATATCACGCCAGCAATTCGATGAACTCAGTGTAAAAAATCGACTTTATCGATTACACCGAAATTACATCTATTTGGCAAGTTTTATTGAAATTGGTTACCGGAAAATGCGCGAAACCGGATTTATCCCCTAGTTAGCCATCCTTGGAGAGGTCTTTCAACATATACACACACACACACACACACACACACACACAAAAACAGTCGAATTGAGAACCTCCTCCTTTTTTTGAAGTCCGTCGATAAATCGTTTATTTGTCAACACATTAATAAATAATATAAACAACATTACACATAAACTTTAGTATCACATCGTGGAGGGGTGTGAGTAAAAGGTCTGTAGCTTTGCAATATGGTGGAGAATTTACAGTCTTGCTGGTGTTATGTTACAGTGGGCGCACTGTATATTTAAAACGAACCAATTTGCACATCATTCAGTCTCAGATTTAACAGTCTAGTAAACTGTTCGTTGTCTTTTTCTTGACAATTTACTACTGTAACTATTTATTTTATTTGATTCGCAGATTTAAAGAAGTGATCAGCTTAGGCAAGAAACTCTTGGCCAACAATCCGACGCTGTCGGATGTAGCGGAGAAGATCAAATACTTGGAGACTGAGCAGCAAGTTGTAAAGAAAGGTACGTGTCAACTTCTGTCATATATTCAGACATATTGGACATGTGCAGTTTTTCATATTGAACAGTAACTCAACCCTGTCCTACGGTCACGAACGCATTTGCTATGTAAAGATACTTCCTATACGATCTCGTATACGATATAATTCATTTGCTGAAGATCGTGCCCCTGAAAGGTCTTTATGATATGGTTTATGAAATTATAATCGACAGAGTAGAAAAACGATTTTAAAATGTCGACAGGAAATATATTGATAATAATCTTCTGCAGGCTGGCTAGAAAAAGACGCATACCTGAAGCAATGTGTTCAATTGCAAAGCTTCAACCGCGAGGCAGACCAAATGGACGCATCGAGCGGCGCGCACGAGGCTTACCTGGAATTTAATCAGGCTGCTGTAAGTGCTTTATAAGGGAAACAGGTTTTTGTGAAATTAGCTGGTGCCCGCGACTTCGTCTACGTAGAATAGCACTTCGAGTAGTCCGGTATACAAATTTTCATATTGGGTTCTTATCGCTATTGTTATAGGAAATGAAAGTGTTTTTTCGGATCTAAAGCGCGTGTATAAGGTTTTTCAAAAATAACCTCGTATCGGGCCCTTTACATGTCCCATGGTCACAGCTGACTGAGACAGTAACCGTCTTCAAGAAAAGGAGGAGCTTCTCAATTTGACTATTTTTTTTGTATGTATGTTATGCAATGATGCCGTCATTTGTGCACCGATTTTGATGATTCTTTCTTGTTGGGACGAGAGTACCTCAGTATTGGGCTCCATTTAAATTTGCAAAAAATATTCCACCTCTAAGGGTGGCAAACTAGGGGATGAATCCGATTATAACATTTTTCGAAGATACTTTCCATTTACGCTACATGCTTGTTTGCTAAATTAGATTTAACAATATATGTATGTTTTTTTAATATAATGTCAAGTGATGGGACGAACAAGAAACAATATAAATTTCATATTTTTATTGGTTTTCCACACAAATTTTCATTCCCTATTTCACACCTTTTAATGTTTATTGTTGTGATAAAAAGTAGCCTACGTTCTTCTCCTAAGTCTTATCTATCTCTATACGAGAATTCATCGGAATGAATTCAGCGGTTTAGGCGTGGAAACGTGACACGGAGTTACTTTCGCATTTATAATATTGGCTTGGGTTAGGTGTGTGACGTTTGCTTTGTGGTGTAGCTTAGTACAGTATACAATAGTTTCAATTAATTAGGCTGCAGCAAGTATATACGTAGTAGACATACGTACTGGCTACTACCGGGGTAGGCAGACACGGATTTTCTCCAGCAATGAAAAAAAAATGTAACAGCCTCTCTGGCCGAACGGTTACCATTCTGGTCTGCTATGCTGGCGTTTCGGGTTCGATTCCTGGGCCGGGAGAAATATCTGTATGGCCTACATTTATTACCTTCGTGAGTTTGGGAGCACTTTGTGTGTGTGTCCATGGCCCCTTCGCGATACAGCGTTTTCCTAGTGCGGGGCTGTGAGTGTGTGTGTTACTGATTTATTTCATGTTTTCTACATTTCTTTCGTTTCCCTACAGTCACACAATTTTTCTTCGTCGCGATCTTACTCAGACGGCACGGCAGGGGAGCGGGTGAATCGGTATCAGTGCTAAGATTTGTCCGCTCTTGAATTTGTTTTTGCCCGGCCGGACCGCGTCTGTGGGACGGTCGTCGTAACGCGAACGCATGCGCAGGCGTCGGTGGACGAGGCGGAGGCGCTGATCAAGCGGCACGAGGAGCTGGAGGCGCGGCTGGCGGCGCAGGACGAGCGCCTGGCGGCCTTCGCGCAGCGCGCCGACGCGCTGCTCAAGCAGCCGCACCACGCGCGGGAGCAGTGAGTACGCCGCCCGTCCCCGTCTCTGTCTCGCCTGTCTCGCCTGTCTCACCTGTCGCACTGTCGCCCTCCCGCAGCGTGGCGGCGCGCACGGCGGCCGTGCTGCGGCGGCGCGAGGCGGTGCGCGTGGCGGCGGCCGAGCGCAGGCGCGCGCTGCAGGCGGCGCTGGCGCACCAGCAGGTACGGGGCCCCGGCAATGGCTTCTTCCGCTGAGGCCGTTCGGCTCGGGTACACGCGTTTCGCTTGTTCGTTGCAGTTCCTCGCGGCCACCGAGGAGTTGCAGACTTGGATCGAAGACAAAACGAAAACCGCCAAAGATCAAAGCTACAGGTGAAGTATAAATTCCACGAATTCCCTTTTCAGTAATCACCCCATTTCAATAAATAGACCTAAACATTTTACCGAAACTACCAAATTCACGCTGGGAAGTAAAAAAGTCATGCAGGAACGTGGCGTCCGTATTCTTTGCATACCCCGGTGCGAGGCGACCGCGATGGTATGTATTATTGGTATATATTCACCCGAAGTGCAGATAATGCAATACCGTTCGAACAAACTTTGCTGACTTACCCGAAATGTTAGAATTTTTTTTAAGTAGTCTCTCTTTACAAGAAACTAACAACATACCATATCTATAACCATTAACCCACATACGATGCAATGCCGGACGAGGAATGTTCACCGACGTCAACATTTTTTCTGTCACAATTATAGTGGTATAAGTAAACTTTAAAACAATTTAATTTCTGAGAAAACTTAGGCACAGAATCTGAGTATCAGACCAACGTGGAACGTGTGTATTACAGTGCAGTTTAAATAAATAGCAATATATTTATGTCTAATTTTTGTAATTTCTTCCCTACAGAGATCTTGCAAACTTAGAGAGAAAATTACAAAAACACGAAGCTTTCGAGAGAGAGCTTCAAGCTAACGAGAAACAACTCAGGAATGTTGAAAGCGTAAGTGTGCAATTTTTAACAATGTAATGAAAAGTATGAGAATAGATAAATGGTCTTAAAGATAAAACGCCGAATAGTAAGTAAATAAGTAGAGGTTTGTGATATGAAAAATGATACAATGACCAGGATATAAAAAGGAAAAGCTTCGAGGGTTTGGTCATGTTAAAAAGGGTCGGCGTCACAAATTTATAGCACGAACGTGAGCTAAAACTTGATGACATGTAAACCTAGATCTTTCGATCAGATCTCAAAAAAAACCAACTTGAAAAGTTTTTTTTTTATGAGATATAAGTGCGCATTTGACCTCCGTCTCACCTGATGGAAAGTGACGATGAGGTCGAACACCTTAATAATGCTTATTCACTCTCGCCTTGAAAAGACCCAAGTTATAACATTTTTCAAGTGTTCACATCGCAAGAGCAGAAAGAATATGATAAACTGTGTTGGGTCATGGAAAAATTTCCATTTGGAAAAATATCGTATTTTTGAGAAAGATAAATGATGTTTCGGATATTTTTTCTTTAATTTTCCACTTTTGACGTTGACGCTTGTTAAAAGTTGAAGGTACTGAACGAAAACGATGGGGCCAGTAAGGTTTTTTTTTGTGAAATCATTTTAAATCTCGTTTTTAGCGAAGTGGGTTTTAGATATACAAGTTTATTTTATAAAAAAAAACTTTAAAAGATATTTCTAAGCGTAGAATATAACATGAGCCTTCGAAGTTAAATTTAAAAGAAATTTCAAATTTGAAAATTTGAAATTTTTCGTGAACTTTTTGAAATTTTTCGTGAAATTACCCATTATATTATATATCATTATATATAATAATGATATGCAAGATGCTGCAAAGCCATCACTGTCATCCACTGCCTGATTTCGCCCACTGCTGGGTATAAACCTCAAACTTGAAACTAATTTTGCCGTGTGTAGCAGATTAACTCGGTTAATATCAGGGTACGCCTCGGAATAATTAGGTAATCAAATAATACCTGCAGAGAATGGGTCCCCGGGTATATCAAAGGCGAATAATGCATTCGATGCGTATGTAATAGTGAACGATTATGGTCGCAACTAGATCGGGCAGTCCCTCCAGAAGTCGGACCCGGCTCGCGCGACCGAAGTGTCGGAGCGGCTGGAGGTCCTGCACTCCGGGTGGGAAGAGCTGGTGGCCGCTTCCAGGGACAAGGGGAGCAAGCTCAGGCAGGCTGCGGCGCAGAGGAAACACCGCAGGTTCGTATTTCTGGCTCATTCTTATCAGGGGAATCAGTTTTATGAATAACCAGTATAGTACCGCCATGGACCAATAACCCAAGAGGACTGCTAATCTCCATATTAAAAATCGTAGCTCTGAAAAAGGTCAAAATTCCGTCTTATTTCTAGATGGCGCTGATCGATAGCCTGGAATTAGTTTATATTTACGTAAATGGCCATGGATATCGATTAACTCCTCTTTTATAGGAAATATAGTAGATATTCTATTTTTCTTGTAATGTTTTTCAAATATTTAGTAATAAACTAAAATTATTCTCTGAACTTCGATATTTATGCGTATCAATAGATGGCATTGTTCGTTGTTAACTAATTAATAACGTAACGCTTGCGAATATAGTTAGATGGCGCAAATCCTAAACAAAATAAAAGAATACTTGGAAGTATCTATAAAAATCTGAGCAATATAGTATAACCTAAAGGAAGTCTAAATTGTCATCCGTTTGCGGTGGCGCACAGTGGGCCCAAATTGATAATTCTTGGACATAGGAATAACTTGTGGAGTATCGAGCTAATTTTTTATGTGATAGACAATAACACACCTAACAACTTTTATTCTTGTAGGATTTCTTGAAAAGTTGATAGTTTCAGAGAAAAAAAATATAATTTTTTTTTGTGGAGAAATATACATTTTGTTCTTTATCTCAAAATATACGAAAATGTAGTGTGCGTGGGTTACTTACAGTATAGTTCCAATCATTTTCTATGTAGAAAAGAATAATCCGTCTGCATGTACTTGCGGCTTTGTAAGTAGAGGTGCGGCAAAATTGCTCTTTTATGTACTTTTTTAACAAAATACATGAGCTTCGACTAAAGAAAATTTAATTTTAGTGCTAAATTACACAGAGCGTTATAACAATAACACGAAAGTTAAGTAGAAACTAGTATATTGTGTTTTATTTTTTAATAAATAACAAATCTAACATTTTGACATCTTTTTACTCGTAAAGCCGCAAGTACCTGCTGATGGATTGTTTTTTTCTTGATAGAGAATGATTGGACTTATACTGTAAATAAACCACACATTACATTTTTCTACAATTCGAGATAAAAAAATAAAATGTTTATTTCTCCAAACAAAAAAAAAACTAAAATTTTTTGTCTGAAACAATCAGCTTTCCAAGAAATTACATGACAATAAAAGTTATCAGGAATGTTATTATGTATCATGTGAAAAAAATCAGCTCTGTATTCCTAAAATTGTATCATGATTAAATAATTATTTAGCCTAAAATTTATACTTTTTATTTCCGTTATTTTTAATTACCTTCAGATTAATTTATACTGGGTTGTTGGACTTTATGCACTGTTTGTAATGGATGACATATTACACACAGATTACACGAAGCTCATGTATTTTGTTAAAAAAGTACATAAAAGAGTTAGCAATTTTGCCGCACCTTTATTTACAAAGCCGCAAGTACATGCAGACGGATTATTTTTTTCTACATAGAAAATGATGGGAACTATACTGTAAGTAACCCACGCACATTAGATTTTCGTATATTTTGAGATAAAAAATAAAATGTATATTTGTCCATACAAAATTTTTTTTTTCTCTGAATCTATCAACTTTTCAAGAAATCATACAAGAATAAAAGTTGTTAGGAATGTTATTATATATCACATAAAAAAAATTTGCTCGATACTCCACAAGTTATTCCTATATCCAAGAATTATCAATTTGGGCCCACTGTGTGGCGTTCCGATATGACCCTT